CCTTTCTTTCTTGCCTGTCCTCCCTCTGGCAGAACTGACAGTCTCTTGTGGTACAGGGCAACCCTCCCCCAGTCCTGGTGACTGTCAGCTCTGGGACTCAGGGACTGAGAGCTGCCAGGGAACTAGGAATGGTTCCCAGCTGATCCCGCATGGACCCAGGGGCAGCTGGCTGCAAGGATGCACCAGGCCAGTCTCCACACCTAGCAGTCGGCGCCTGTGTTACTCTGGGGACAGGAGCTTTGACAGAGGACACTGAGGTAGAGAAAGCAGATCTGGTCAGGAAATAGAGAACAGGGGAGGGATTGGGGGTGGGGTGGGTTGTGGCGGGAGGAGACCTAGGAGCTGGAAGATCTAGGAATTGGGGGTCACTGGGGATTGAGGAAGCACCCAGGATCGCAGGGATGGGTTGAGGGTCAGGAGTTGGGCTGCGGATCTGAGTGTCCATGGGAAATGCCTTGAGGAAGCAGAATGGGCAGCAGGTGGGGGCCCAGCGTGCCACCCAGGCTGTCCAGGGCCCTCCCGGCCCTGCCCCTGCCGTCCCCTCAGCCTTCATCCTACCTGGCAGTGGGGTCCTGGCTCGTGGATCTCAGGGTTCCTGGTGGCCGCTGGAGGAGGAGGAGGGAGAAGAGGAGGGAACGGTTCCACCCCTTCCGTGTGTGGGAGGAGCAGATGAAGTCAGCTGTGTCCGCCCCAGAGGGGAAAGTCCCCAGGGCGCCCCGGACCTGGCCCTGCCCTCCGCCCAGTGCCACGGTGCCACGTGGAACAAGGCAGGGCTCCCATTGTGTGGCGCCAAGGCAGAGGAAGGAGGAACCCGCACCCCCAGAGACCTAGGGGATGGTGGCCACAGTGACACACTGTGGGGATTCACCATGCATCATGTGGCTAAGTTCACAGGAACCCTGGTGACTTATACCTATCAGTCCAGCACACTGGACGCTGAGGCAGGAGGATTGCCCTGAGTTCCAAGCAAGCCTGACCCACACAGTATGACTTTCATCTCAGAAAAAAAAAAAAAAAAAAAAGTAAAAGGCCAGGCGGTGGTGGCACATGCCTTTAATCCCAGCACACGGGAGGCAGCAGGTGGATGGATCTGTGAGTTCGCAGCCAGCCTGGTCTACAGAGTGAGTTCCAGGGCAGCCAGAGCTACACAGAGAAACCCTGTCTGAAAAACCAATAAATAAATAATAAATACAAAATAAGTAAACAAGAGTGCTGGAATCTACAAAGGAAATCCATTTGGTTGAGAATATTTTTTAGCGTTTTATTTATTCAGTTTTTTCATGTGTGTGTGTCTGTGTGTGTAGGTCGAAGGACAGCAAGCCTCTTTGTATGAACATGACGCTATCCTGGAACTCTGGGCCATCCTCCAGGCTCAGCCTCCCAGATGGTTATATTACAGGCATGTTTTAAAACTGATGAAACTAAATTGTGAAAACGGAAAAGCAGAAGCAGCTTACAGGGGACAACAATTAGGAAGTGGTATGCACAAATGAGCCACCCACCCCACCCCCACCCTGTCACTGGGAGATTCTAGGTGGGAGAGGGGGAGCTGTACCTGACCACGCCCCCAGGTCCTCACTGGGTGGCGCCACCCCTGACCACGCCCCCAGGCTCTCACTGGGTGGCTCCACCCCTGACCACGCCCCCAGGCCCTCTCTAGGAGACAGGAGTATCTGGCTCATGTCACTGAACACGATGATGCCTCCGTACCTCTGGAGGTTGGAATTAGAAGGGCCTGTTTTCCTCATGTGCATGTTTGTGGGAGTCAGGGGTTGGCAGGAGTGTCTTTCTTGGTCACACTCCAGCACTTGACCACTGGAACTATCTCTCCTGTTCCTGAGTTTTGCTGTTTTGAGAGAGGGTCTCATGTAGCCCAGGCTAGCTTCAAACTTACTATGTAGCCAAGGATGAACTTGAACTCCTGATCCTCCCATCTCTCCGTCAAGGGAAACAGACATGAGCATGTTTGGCAGGTGATGTTCAGTCTGCTGCACCGACCCTCCCCTACACCTCACAGGAAGTTCAGTGGAGGGGAATCACCCGGCAGCAGCCCTGCCTGCTGCCCTGGCAGGGTGGCCCAGCGGCTGGGGAAGAAACGCGCACACACACCATCTGCCTGGCCTCTGATGCCACGTAAATTTATTGAAGCAATACTCAACACTCAGGCCTCAGTCATTCTGATCTGAAACGATGTTCACATCCCCGCTGTCCACCGTCATGGAGGCCAACTTTCCGGACCAGGTATCAGCGTCTGTTAGCAAAGCGTTTATTATTGTAGGCCATGGCGTAGTGAAGGCACCAGAATGGAATATCACCATGGCGTGATGTACGTCACGACAAGGAGCTCAGGCTATCACTGAATTCGTTGTGCAGCGTATGGCTTTGAATTCTTGACCCTCCTGCCTCAGCTGCCACAGCGCTGGCACAGGGTGACAGGCATGTGCCATCATTACTGGTTGCTCTTCTTGTATAATACTAGAGGGACCAGCCTTAATATTATACATCCCAGGGGCTCAGGAGAGAGAACTACTAACGGCCAGGAGTATTTTCAGGAAATAGAATCTCAGCACACCGAGCTCTATAGTCCACTTGCTTTAATTCCTCTGGCATAACATCCTTTATACACAGCTTCAGTTCTGTTCTCATGCCTAGCTCCTTTCTTGCCTGATTTCTCTCTATATTTATCTGCTGTCCCCTCTAGGTTCTATCTTAATTCCTTCATCCAGTTCTGTCCCTTCTAGGTTCTCATCTATCTAGTTCTTTCCCCTATCAGCTCCTCTCCCGTCTCCTGTCTCATCTGGCTCTTCCTCATCTTGTTCTTCCCCATCTGGCTCTTCCTCATCTTCCATCTCGTTCCTCTAGTCCTCTCTTTTAGCTCTTCAATCTAGTTCTTCTCCATCTCAGTTCGTTCCTCTCAAGTTCCTACCCATCTAGTTCTTCCATTCTCTTTTCTCTTCTCTGTCTTGTGCCCTGGAAGTTCCGGTATATAAAGGGAGGGTCCAAGATAAATTGTGTAAAGCTATTACTTAACGTCCACCTCTCCTAGGTGGAGTCTCCTTGTGGAATTTACCATAAGTCAGGAGACTTGCAGGTGGGCTGTTATCACTGTTAGTCCTCGGAAGTTGGGCGTCCACCTGGGTGGTGTTTCCTGTAGTCCTTGAAAGTGGCCAAGGGAGATAATCTGATTCCAGAGAAAGCCTTTCCTGAGGCTGTTCTCCAAATACCTGGAATGTGTATGTCCAGAGAGTGATCAGTCCACACTGTTAGCCCTTCTTAGGGAAAAGTCAATTGGGAAAGCTATGAAGGCACACATGATTTTCATAACAGAAGACAGCTGATATATAACAAGCCAAGTAACACCAAAAACTCCTTGGGATTTGGCTTCCTCTGGAGGAATTCCCTGATCCCTCCAGGTAGTGACTTTGCCATAACCAGCTGAGTTCTCATGATAGATTCCTGCGGCCTGCAGCAACTCTATTTTTTTTTTTTTAAGGGGAAAAAAAAATTTTTTTTTCTAGAGCATTCTAGAAATTTTATTCCTTAAAAATTCTAGAAAAAAATATTTTTGCTTTAAAAGACTGATGAGAAAAGGGTAAACATGTCTTCAGACTCAGGGTGTGCGACAGGACTGTTGGGAAAAGCTGACTCGCCAGCATGCTGCCCCTGACGCCCCCTCTCCCCACTACTTCTCTTCTGGGGCTTTCTCAGTGATTCCAGGAGCGAAGGGGCCCACCAGCCACGTGACAGGTGTGTTCTGAGCCACGTACTCCACAGTGTGGTCAAGGGCCTCTCGGGCTCTGGCTATGCGCTCACGGGTCTGGGTAAGAACGCTGGTGGTGAGGTCCTGGAAGGACTGGATGCCGGAGAAGGTCGCCTGAAGGTCGTCCACCTGGCTTCGGGCCTGCTGGGCCTGCTCCCTGACGTGGCCGGGCAGGCCCTGGATGCTGGCCCCCAGGGCCGCACACGTGCGCTGCAGCTGCTGGGTGATGTCCCTGAACATGCCGAGCGCCTGGGCCTCCACTTGCTGGAAGGGGAGAGTGGGGTGGGGTGAGGGCCAGCAGGGGGACAGTGAGGGGGACAGGGACTCGGCTCCTGTAACCTTTTCAAAATAGATTTACAGGGAGACACCGGAAGACGCCTAGAATCTAGACTCATCGGACACAAATGCCACCAGGAGGGGCAAAAACCAAACAGCAAAAATTGAAAAACAAAAAACAAATATACAAACCCCAAATCAAACCACAACGTGGACACCGAGAGACCAGATGTGGTGGCTGCACAGCTGTGATCTCAGAATCAAAGTAAGCAACTGCCCACAGTAATAATAAAAATACAAAAATTGAAAACCAAAGCCAAAATGCCAGGTGGTGGTGGTGGCGCATGTCTTTACTCCCAGCACTCGGGAGGCAGAGGCAGGTGGATCTCTGTGAGTTGGGAGACCAGCCTGGACTACAGAGAGTTCCAGAACAGCCACGGCTACATAGTGAGGCCCCGTCTTGAGAAACCAAGAGAAAAACAAAACAAAAGCCAAAACAAAAGAGAATCATGGGTTTTGTGGGTCACTGGAGGTGGGGGGCGGGGCAGGAAGGGCAGTGTGCACAGGGCAGGGCATGCAGACAGACACGGGGACGGCGGTTACCTCTGGCTTAGCGGGGTCATTCTCTGCATCCTGGGGGGTCTTCTGGTTCCAGCTGAGCCACATCTGGTGCAGCTTCTCCTGCCCCTCCCCCAGCCTCTGGTCCACGCCTTGTTTCACGGATTCCATCTGCAGCGCAGAGAAAAGGGTGGGGGCCTGTATCAAAAGGAGTCTGTGTCCCAGACGCTGGTTCCAGTCGGGCACAACAGCAATGAGGATGCTCTTCATTTACATCTTTTTTTCTCTTTTCTGGCTAGCCTGGAATTCACTATGTAGACCAGGCTGGGCCTCTGAGGGATGAGAGGCATGGGCCAAGGAGTCCCGCACTTTTGTTTTTTTGTTTGTTTGTTTGTTTTTGTTTTTGAAGACAGGGTTTCTCTGTAGCTTTGCGCCTTCCCCGGAACTCACTTTGTAGACCAGACTGGCCTCGAACTCACAGAGATCCGCCTGCCTCTGCCTCCCGAGTGCTGGGACTAAAGGCGTTAGCCACCACCACCCAGGAGTCCCGCACTTTTATTTTTCCCCTTGGGCAATGAATGCTCCACCAGCAACCACCATAAGCTTCACACGAATAAGATGCAACAGTGTCTTACATGGCATCAGGACCCAGCGACCAGCACCCCTAGCCACCCAGGTAGAGAAAGAGAGGCCCACGCCCCATGCACCCTGGAGCAGACAGTCACCCTGTATTCACGTATCGAAGTCCACAACTCCGTCTCAACTGAACTTCAGCCTCTGACAGGGTCGGACAATGAACGCGTCTGGTTCAGTTGCCCAGACCGTGCACTTTGTTACGCAGCCTGAGCTGACTCATTGTATGGTGGAAGCTAGCTGAGGGGAGCCAGCCCAGCCCACCTCCTACCAGGTGCGATCCCAGCTCACGGAGGGAGGGGGGCAGCAGGAAGGAGGCCCCAGCCCTGGCCACACCCGAGGCTTACCAGGCTGAGTGCGTGCGTGAGCTGCTGCAGCGCCTCGTGCGCACTCTGCCTGGCATGGCGCAGCTTGCCCAGGGAGTGCTCGTAGGCGTGGTTGCGCAGGCGCTCCGACAGCGAGCCCAGGCGGACGAAGTAGTTCTGCTCTTGCCTCTGTTGCTGCAGCGAGGCCATGTCCGAGCCCTCTGGGGAAGTGGCGATCAGGGCTGCAGACACAGAGGGAGAGAGTGGTCAGGCGCACACTGCAAACCCTGCGGAGGGGGGTTGGGAACCTGAGGCAGGAGGTTTGCAAGTCCCTGGCAACCTGAGCTACAGGGGACCCAGTCCCCCCGGACTGGGCTGGCAAGATGGCTGGGCGGGCCAAGATGCTTGCTGCCAAGTCTGGGAAACTGAGTTCTGTCCGTGGATCCCACAGTAGGAGAGAACCGACGACCGGAAGTTGTGCTGTGGACGCTCCACGTGCACCTAGCTCAGGCAAACCTCAAATGATGAAAATGAAATGTATTTTTAAAAACGTGAAAAGCAGATGGTAGTGAGCGGCAAGGTTGTAAGCCCAGCACTAAGGAGGAGCATTGTGGAACAGAATCTTCAACTCTATACAGAGGCGTTGCACTTGAGCTGCAGAACAATTTTTAACTATATAAAGAGGTGTTGCTGTTTCACTTGCCTGCCTAAGGCACCTGAGTGGTCTAACAAAAAGCTGAATGGCCAATACCTGGGCGGAAGAGGGATACACAGGGCTGGTGGGCAGAGAGAATAAGCAGGAGGAGGAATCTAGGCTCCAGAGAGAAATGTGGGAGAAAGAGAAAGCGCCACCCGGGGCCAGCCAGCCAGCCAGGCAGCCTCCAGCAGCCAGACACAGAGGAAGCGGGAGAGTAGAACATACAGAATCAAAGAAAGGCAAAAGCCCCGAGGCAAAATGTAGGTGAAGAGAAACAGGATAATATAAGTTACAGGAGCCAGTGGGACAGGCCTAAATAAACTAAGGCCGAGCATTCATAATTAATAATAAATCTCCGTGTCATGATTTGGGGGCTGGCGGTCCAAGAAAGCCTGCTTCGGAGAAGACAGGAGGATGGACCCCCCCCTCCCCGGCTCCCCTCGACAGCCAGCCTAGACAAGTCTGTGAGCCCCAAGTCCCTGATGCCCTGTCTCAAAAAACACGGGGAAGAATTGCTGGGGTAGACAAGGCCGTCCTGTGGCCTTGGCACACGCACTCAGAAGCCTTTGAGACATTCAGGGACAAAGTCAAATCCTGGGGCTTTTTGTTTTGTTATTTTGAGACAGCATCTCACTGTGTAGCCCAGGCTATACTTGAACTTATAGACATACGCCTACCTCTGCTTCCCAAGTAGGATTAAAGGTGTGTGGGATCATGTCAGGCAAAATCCTATGTTTTGAAAAAAAAAAAAAAAATTCTCCTCTTCCCATTTCTCCTTACACAGTGGATTTCAAAACAAAACGGCTACATTTTGGTCCCGGCCAGCTGGTTTGTAGCAGTTTTCTTGGAAGCTGGGGGCTGCACCCTGGGAAGTGAAAGGAGCCTTGTGCTTTTAGCCAAGGCAAGGGCAGGAAGCCATGGGCAGAGAGTGGCGTGACGCAGAGGCAGAGGGACAGGCCCTGTGTCCCTGGGAGACAGGCAGCTCAACTGGCCTGAACTAGAAGTGGTGGAAAAGACTCAGGCTGGCCTCCAACTCCTGATACGGCCCCCTCCCCTGGCATCCACCTCCTGAGTGCTGGGGCGACTGGTGTGGGCCGCCACACCTGGCTTTGTTGTACCAGGGATGGAACCCACGGACTTGTGCATGCTAGGTGAACGCTCTACCTACAGCCCCAGACTGAGGCTTATGCTTGTATTCTGAGACAGGGTCTTGTGATGTAGCCCAGGTTGGCCTAGAACGTCTCCATCTACCTTCCTCAGCCTCCCAAGTGCTGGGGTGAGAGGTACAGGCCCCCTTGCTCAAGTTACAAACCTAGCTCCCACATGCCTCCGCTATTCCCTACTTGGTGTTACCCACAAGCCACCTGAGTCCTATAGGACACACGTCCTCACCAGGGATGCATCTGGGAGAGCAGTGGCTGCTCAGACAGGAGCCGCCTCCACAGAGCCTCTGGTTCCTGTTTATGCACTGCACCCCACCCTCTCCCAGGCTGGAGTCTGTGTTGGGGATTACTGAGGTGCAGCCGGGTCTTCCCCGCAGAGGGTCACTGTCGCTGGGAGTGAGCGCTGCTCTTTGAATGAATACATGCCACTCAAAACCCACAGAACGGCAGGCTCACGGCCAGCCTAGGAGGAACCGAGACCTCTATGGATGCCCGGGTGGTGATGCACGCCTACCTCCCCAGTGCTTGGTAAGTGGAGGCAGGGCTATCATCTTGAACCAAGAAGTGGCTCGGTGAGTCTAAAGGATTCCTGGAACCCACATGGTGGTCGGACAGAATCTACCAGAGTACCTGGAGAGCTGTGGGCAGAGGAGGGCGCCCTCTTGGGGGCAGTTGTGGGGAGGACAAAGCCTAGGCACTGAGACCAGAGGCCGGGGTAAGGACACTCACCCAGCTCTGCATCCGTCAGGGGCAGGCGGTTGTCCGCCCAGGCCTCAGACTTGACCAGCATCGTGTCCACTCCGCTAATCACCATCTGTCCCACTCGGGAGCCCATGACCGACTGGACGCCGCTGGTCACCGCCGACTTGGTCATGTCCATGCTGCTCTGCACAGCCCCCCGGGTCACATCCACTGCTCCGGTCACCCGGGTGGCCACTGTGTCCTTTGCACTGGTCACTGAGTTAGATACCATATCTCTGGCCCCAGATACTGTAGATGACACCAGTTCCTTAGTGTCTGCCAGAACCTGCAGGATGGGACACATCAGCCTCTGCCACACCAGGATCCCCCACCCAGGGAGGCCAGAGCAGGAGGGTCATCCTAGCCCCTGTGTGGTTAAGACTTCACAGCTGGGCAGTGTGGCACACGTCTTTAATCCCAACACTGGGGAGGTAGGTGGATTTCTGTGAACTGGATTCCAGCTTGGGCTACACAGTGAGTTCCGAGGCTACTATCTCTTTTTTTGTTGTTGTTTTGTTTTGTTTTTTGAGACAGGGTTTCTCTGTGTAGCTTTGGTGTCTGTCCTGGATCTCACTCTGTAGACCAGGCTGGCCTGGAACTCACAGAGATCCGCCTGCCTTGCCTCCCGAGTGCTGGGATTGAAGGCGTGCGCCACCACCGCCTGGCCCGAGGTTACTATCTCAAAAAAACAAAACAAAAAAAGACTTCAAAGCACAGTAACTTTCCAAATTCCAGTCACACCAAGCTACCTGGTCTCAGGCAAGTCACTCTCAACCTCGCTGTCCCTTTGATTGTTATTTGAAGGGGTTCCTGGCTGAACCTGTATCCTTCCCAATCAGTTAAACATTTTAAAGAAAGATTTGTTATTTCTATTTAAGTGTGTACATCTATATAGGTGTCTGTTCTGTGTGCAGGGCCCCCGGAGGCCAGCTGGAGTTACAGGCAGTTGTGGGCTCCCTGAAATGGGCAATGGGAACTGAACTCAGGTTCCATGGAAGAACAGCCAACACTCCTGGCCACTGGGCTATTTCTCTAGCCTCGTAAGTAATTAGGTGAGTAAGCAAACAAATTTCTTTCTGTATCTGTGCCTGGGTGCCACAGCATGTGTGTAGAGGTCAGAGGACAACGTGTAGGACTCAGTTCTCTCCTACTCTGTGGGGCCTGGGGATAGAACTCAGGTCTTCGGGCTTGGCTGCAACTGCCTTTATTCAATGAACTATCTTGGCCCTATTTATTCTTGACCGTGGGTATCCCAGGCTGGCTCCAACCCTAAACTCGCTGTGTAGCTACTGTCTATGTAATAGCCCAGATTCAATGCCGTGTTGGCCACGTGCTGGTCCCATGTGACTCAGAGGGTAAAAATAAACTCCCAGCACCCAGAATGTGAAATACAGCTCAGCCCCTCCCAAATTCAAAGCCCAGAACCACTGTACAAGCGTGTGGTGATATACTGTGTACCCTAATAAACTTTCCTGAGGACCAGAGGACTCTAGATTAGACATAGAGGTCAGGCTGTGGTGGCACACACCTTTAATCCCAGCACTTGAGATCTCATGCCTTTGCTGGGGAAGCACACAGGCCTTTAATCCCAGGAAGTGATATGGCATGAAGAAACAGGAACTCATTCTCTTTAGGCTGAGGATTTCGTAGAGGTGAGAACTAGTGGCTGGCTGTTCTGCTTCTCGGATCTGTCAGCTTCCACCCTGATATCTGGCTCTGGGTTTCTTATTAAAAGACCATCTAAGATTCGAACGACACAGGCTCTGTCGCAAGAATCAGGAGAGCGTGACCCTGACTGCTGCCTTCTGTGATGGGAGGGAGCACTGTGAAGGACACCTTGAAGCAGAGCTATGTCTGGAGAAAAAGTGCTGGCAGAGCGAGAGAGGGCTGTTAGGAGGCCTCCAGCTGCGACTACAGCCAGATGTGGGCCCTCTGTGCAGAAGCGGAGGCCTGTCCTATTGTCCTGGGGTTGACACTATTCCTGGGCATGGCATACAGAAGGGGCCCAGCCCACAAGAACATGAGAATGAAGTGTCCCCACCGGAAAGTGGCTACACAGTACTTGATTCAGAGGCCAGACAAGATGAGGGCTAGCTGGAGCCCCTGCCTAGATTCCCCTAGTGAGGGGCTGGGGGCGTGGTCAGGGTGGAGCCCCTGCCTAGAATCCCCTAGTGAGGGGCTGGGGGCGTGGTCAGGGTGGAGCCCCGCCTAGATTCCCCTAGTGAGGGGCTGGGGGCGTGGTCAGGGTGGAGCCCCTGCCTAAAATTCCCCAGTGGGGACTGGGGCGTGGTCAACAGGGTACACAGCCTGGGCTATCTAAGTAAGACCCTGTCTGTCTGTCTGTCTGTCTCTCTCTCTCATACACACACACACACACACTCACTCTCTCTCTCTCTCTCTCTCTCTCTCTCTCTCTCTACTGGTTTGGATCTGGCTAATAGATGCTCTGGAGATCAGAGCGCTGAGTTTCTGGTTCAGTTAAGAACAGCACATGCAAACGCCCTCTGCCTTCTTGGGTTTAGGGTCCTTTCCAAAGGCTTACGACTCTGTTTCTAAGGGTGTGTACCTACCTAAACTGTGCATTGTGCTTGAGAGGCCAGACCAGATGAAACTGCGAGCCTTTTGCTCTGTGTTCGGTGGGATCCAGATGGCATTCTGACTGGATGTGGCCACCCTTCAAGACCTTTCTGGCCAGTGCGGGTGGGGACAGTGAGGACTGTCATGTGTGTGTTGTGTATAAAGCTAGGACTTGGCAGGTCCAGGCAGGGCCTCAAGACAGAATCAACTGACCTAGTACTGACCTTCTCAGTCGGCTGCTGGAGGATGGGCAGGCTTTCCTGCAATCTGTCCAGCCCTCGGTGTGCATACTCACTGGCCGATGCAACTGCAGGACACCAGAGAAAACACATCCACTGTAACTGCCCTTCAGAGGCAAGGAGAGCCACCCAGGGTCAGTTCAGGGGACTGGAGTTCAGAAATGGGGGTGATTCCCTCCAAAGATGGCCATGAGGAGCATTCTCCACACTCTGGGGTCCTCAACTCACTCTGGGGCTCCAGCTTGGACAAGATGGGCTGTGCCCCGCTGACTGCGGCCGCAGTGAGGGTCTTGACGCCTTTCTCCGCCACGTCGCACAGGGTCCTCACTTGGGGGTAGCTCTCCTTGGTGGAGGTGTACGCAGCACTCACCATTCCACACGTGGAACTGATGAGAGGCAGGTTGGCCACGCGGTCCACCACGCTGGGCTGTGGAGGGCGGAGACTGGGCTAAGAGCTCAGAGCGCCCATAGGCCTGCTCTCGTTTTGGGGGAGCAGACCAGCTGGGCTCTGTGATGCCTGGTATGAACAACTGGACAAGGCAGGAAACCTGGAGGTTCCATGACGTGCTTCTGGTGGCTTACTTGTTTGAGCACGGGATTGACCACCCAGTGAAGTGTCGGGCAGTGCGGTGACAGAGGAACCCCATTTTTGTGAGAGCACTGGTTCACCACATAACAGGCCCTACATTCCATCCGCAACTCCAGAAACCTGGGGTGATGGCACATGATATCACTCAGCACAGGCTGGAGCCTTGAGGGTTCTATTATGATTGTGGTACCCTGGGCTACACAGTAAATTGGTCTAGACAGAGACAGAGAGTCGGGGAGAGACAGAGAGTGGGAGGGGGAGCATGTAAGAGGAATTCAAAATCACCCTCAGTCACATAGTGAGTTTGAGGCTAGCCTGTGCTACATGAGACCCTGTATTGAAAGGAAAGAAAAAAATGAAGGGACAGGCCTAGGTGTTTACTCCCCAGCACTCAGAAGGCAGAGGCAGAGGAATCTCTGTGAGTTCCATGCTAGCCTGGGCTACAGAGTAAGATCCTGTCTCAAAGCTAAAAAGAAAAAGAAGAAAAGAAAAGGAAGGCAGGAAGAGGGAGGCAGGCTTCTGACTTCTGTCCTGGCCAGCCCCTCTCGGCCCCCAGCAAGATGCCACAGAGCACCCTCAGAAGCCCAGGGCTCCCTGCAGCTCAGGCCCCTTACCTGTGGGACAGGTTCTTCCACAGCAGCCTGGACTTCAGCCGGGGCATCTGTCCCATTGCTAGACATGGTCTCAGCTGCGGGCAGAAGAGACAGTCAAGTGACAGCCTGCCCCAGGAACGCAGGAAGCAGAGTGATCTATGAACCTTCAGACCTCTCAGAGACCCGTCATCAATTCAGAAGGTCCAAGGTGGGGCCTAGCTCACCGGACCTCCTCCCCAACCCCTGACCCTTTGGTGCTGGAGAACCAACTCAGCGCTCCAGGAACATGCAGCAAAGCTCCACCCTGAGCCACACCACAGCCCCTCACTGGGGATTCTAGGCGGGGCTCCACCCTGACCACGCCCCCAGCCCCTCACTGGGGGATTCTAGGTGGGGCTCCACCCTGACCACGCCCCCAGCCCCTCACTGGGGATTCTGGGCGGGCCTCCACCCCGACCACGCCCCCAGCCCCTCACTGGGGGGACTCTAGGAGGGGACTCCACCCTGACCACAGACACAACCTCTTACTTTAGAACCCCAACTCTGGATGGTTGTGACAGCGGTCCTAGGCCACACCTAGCAGATCAGCCTCTTTAAAGGAGAAAGGTCAGGTCTAATACCTCTCTCAAGGGTACTGTTGCCCTCACAGCCCTCTTCCAGGTTATCGGACAGTTGACACTGATGCCACACCTGTTCTGCCCCTTGTGGGTCCCAACATGACAGCAGAGACAACCTAGATGCCCAGCAGAGGGGGATTTAAAAAAAAAAAAAAAAAAGCTAACACTTTTCCCCGTGTGTTCAAATCAAGGGAACTCTCACAGGCCAAAACGTTCAGAGACAGATGTGTGAAATAGCATTAAAGATTCTCTCTCTTCTTAAAGAGTATTTTGGGGGCTGAAAGAATGGCTCAGAAGTTACAAAGCATATATGCTCTTCCAGAGGACTTGAGTTTGACTCCTAGCATTCATGGCAGGGGGCTCACAACCACCTGTAACTCCAGCTCCAGGGCATCTAAGGTCTCCATGGGCACCACACTCACTATGCATAATTAAAAATAATCAGCTAAGGGCCTGGTGGCGGTGGTGGCACACGCCTTTAATCCCAGCACTCGGGAGGCAGAGCCAGGCGAATCTCTGTGAGTTCTGAGTTCGAGGCCAGCCTGGGCTACAGAGTGAGATCCAGGACAGGCAACAAAACTACATGGAGAAACCCTGTCTCGGAAAAAAACAAACAAACAAAAAAACCCAGCTAAGCCAGGGGTGGTGGCTCACGCCTTTAATTCCAGCACTGGGGAAAAGAGGCAGGAGGATCGCTAAGTCCTAGGCCAGCCTGGTCTACAGAGTAAAACCCTGTCTCAAAAAAAAAAAAAAACCAAAACCAAAAACAAAAAAAACAAACATAATAAATCTTATAAGTGGTTGCCAGAGTGCAGGAGAGGGCGTCAGATCCCCTGGAGCTGGAGTTTGGTGGTATGGGGCACCTGAAGTAGGTGCTGGGAACTGAACCCAGGTTCTCTGAGGGAGCAGTAGGTGCTCTAACAGCTGAGCCACCTCTCCAGCCTGACTGTCTTTACATAGATGTTAGAAGATCGGGAAAATGAACAGACTAAGGTCAGGTTTCGGATAGAGGATGGGGGTAGAAGGCAGGTGCCTGAATTTTAGGTCAGGTAAGTAATATCACCTCTTCAAAGCCAGTTAAAAAATGGGGCTTGGGTGAGTGGGCAGAGCCAGCATGCCCCAGAACCACAGAAACCAGACACACGCCTGTCACCCCACCACTTGGGAGGAAGGTCAGGACTTCAGGGCCATCCTTGGCTACATCATGAATTCTAGGCCAGCCTGGGCTGCATGAGACCTTGCTGTCTCCCCTACCCGGTTCCCTTAATCACATCAACACTGAGTCTAAAAGTTGCCCCTAATTCAGACACTGGCGGCCCAGAAAATTCTCATGTGACAAGTCTGAATCCAGTAATTCCAGAACGCTAGATCTGTTCTGGTGTGTGTGTGTGTGTGTGTGTGTGTGTGTGTGTGTGTGTGTGTGTGTGTGTGTGTGTG